AAACCCAGCCCCTCTGTCCCCAGGGCTTGGAATAGCTGCAATTAGCACCAGAAGTTAAGTAGGGTCACCAGAACCCCAAAGACGGCTCCCCACCCCCTCCGTAGGGCAGCCCAACTGGACAAGTCAAATCAAGCGTCCCTTCCAAAGACACGAGTCCCTTCTCCTGGGTGTGCTTCCTCTCGTCTCCTGCAAAGGTGTGGGCAGCGCTGGCAGAGTCTGAGCCCACGGAGAGCTGCCAGGCCCAGAGGACCTTCCGCAGGACACTGGAGGGCTGGGCAGAGGCGGCCACTCAGAAGCTGTTCCTATCAGAGATGGCACCAGGTCTGGGACAGGTCTCATGGTTGTGTGACAGACTTAGCTCATGGCACACACATCCTGATGGCATGAGAGGGTGACATCACGACACGCCAACAGTGCAGACAATCAGTGTCAAAGGGATAAACAGACACATGGACAATGGGAAGCAATGACTTAAGGAGAGGCAACAGCACAGCTGTCCTGTGACCCAGTGTCCTTGACCACCTGGGAGGTGGCCGAGGGCTTCACAGAACCCCCCAGCTGCAGACCTGTGGGGACAGACCCCGGTTTCCCCAGTTCCTCTTCTGCCTAAGAAAGGGAACCATGAGAGTCAACCCCTGTGGCGGAAGTGACACCTACCCTGGGGAGAAAGGTCACTTGGGACTCCCAGGTGCGGGGGGCCTCAGAGGGGCTCTGCTCTGCTCTTTCACAAAGACCTGACCATGCAGGAGACCAGCCCGGCTTGCGAAGGCCCAGCTGTCCATCACCTGGAACAATGTCACCAACATCTGGAATTCAGGGAGGCCACCAAACTCCACCCAAACGCTGACTTGAGGCCTTGCTCCTCTTTGCCCCACTGGCCTCTCTTTCTGAGAATTACGAGACACAGGGAACTCGTGTTCCCTCTACAGCACCCCAGGAACTGGCAGCTGGCGAAGCTGAGCCAGTGAGCCTAACGTGCAGATGGACATTGTTTGCACACACAGGTGAGCATGTCTACATGCGTCCACTACCCAAAGGTCAGCAATGGCCACTGCTGATCATGGGCTGGGGTGACTTGAGACTCCCCATTCTACTTGGCTGTGTTTTTTAGGTTTTCCACGATCGCACACCGGTTGCGTTTGGCCTAAGAGCTCTTCTGTTACTCCAGCAGAAACCCACCAGTTGCTGCCCCCCACCCGTTAGGAAAAGAGGGAGTGTTTGAAAGCACTTTGTTTTTTTCTTTTCTTCTGAGATCTGATCCTTTGGGGGTAGGAGAAGGGTCCTCCTCTCACAGGAGAATTTCTAGAGAAATTAAAACAAACCTCCTGAGACGGGGCACCTAAGGCAGGTGCTCCCAAGACCCACCCATTTGGTTCTTGAAATCTGGTGTGGACTTCTGTGGTGATGCTGCTCGGAGATGGCCAAGTGCTCCCACAGTGATGGCCAAGTGCTCCCACAGGGAGATGGCCAGGTACTCCCACGGTGATGGCCAAGTGCTCCCACAGAGATGGCCAAGTGCTCCCACAGCAATCGCCCCTGTGAACTTGAGCCTGTGTTTCGAGATCCACCGCCTTCAAACCCCAGCATCGCTAAGCACGAAATACCTTCACCTGCTTCCGGTGCTTCATGTCCACACCCCCACAGTGCTCAGCCGGCCACCTGGGAGCGTCTCTCTGAAGGGCCAGTGCCTGTGAACCCTGGGTCCAAGAGTTCTGTGCTCAGACTGCAGAGTTTCTGACTGCATCCAGGAGATCCATCAGGCTCTTGACAAGTCCCCAAGCTGCAGTGACAAAGGTCACAGACCTGATGGCCTGAAGCAACAGACACATTCTTCCAAAGTCAAATGCCTGCAGGGCCATGCTCCCTCCCAGGGCTCCAGGGGACAATCTGGTCTTGCCTGCTCCAGCTGGCTCCAGGTGCTCCTCAGCTTCCTTGCCTGTGGCCAAATCCGCTGTCTCTGCATCTCCCTGTGTCTCCTGGGGGCTCAGGACCCACCTTATAGCCCACATCAGCCACCTCTGCAAAGGCCCTTCAAACAAGATCAGGCTCAAGTGTTCCAGAGGTGAGAATGTGGCCGTGTCTTTGGAGGGGCCTCTGTAGCCTGGTCCCCGTGCTAGATGGCCGCTGGCACTGTGGGCATTGCTGTTGCTGAGCATTCCATCCAGTGGGACAGAGAGCTGCGGGATGGGGACACACGGAGGGGCCCCTGGATGTGCGTCTGCAGAGCCTTGGCCAGTGGTCAAGGCAGGCCCCAGGGTCAACGGCTTTGGCCAACACTGGCTCTGGGACCTTGAGAGTCGCTGAACTGGGCCTCGACTCACATCCGTCAAGTGGGAATAAGGACAGGGTCCACTTCAGACTCTCAGGTTTCTAATTTTTGAAATGTTGTTCTCCCGAAAGATTTTTAAAATGATGCCTGGCTCCTGATATGTTTTTTGTTTATTTATATAATATAAAACATATGATTATAAAATGTATGATTTTATGTGTGTGAGTGTGTGTGTATGTCTATACGTGTGTGGGAGATTTTTCAACAAAATCTTTACATAAAATAAGGGATGGAGGACAGAGTCCCACAAGATGGTCCTGAAGACAGCCCAACCTTCCATGTGACTTCACTTCTCAGTGACCCTGGAACAGAGGGAGAGGAGAAGCTCAAACAAAAGGCAGCGAGGGGGCAGTGTGAACTGGTGAGGACCACTGACAGCTGCCCCTTTTCCCAGCTTGGGTGTGAACTGTAAGGCCACCGGGAGACTCGGCCGGATTCCTGCCCCGTGACCCATGACGCAGTGGCCGTCCTGATCAGTGCTGTGCTTTGATTCCATGGCCAGTGGTTAAATATCACCAAAAAGCACTGGGCTCATCAAAGTGACTGACAGGTGGCCCTCCCCTGCTCATTAGTGATTGCCCCACTTTGGATCTGGGCTGGCGCTGATGGGGTGGGGGCCTATGGGACCTCAGAGGAGGCTCTAGGTCACGGGGTGTGGCCTTGAGGGACGCAGCATGAAGCCAGCTCCCTCCTCTTCCTCCCTCTTTCAGGCCAGGGGTGGGTGGATACCTGCTCTGCCCCACACTACCTGCCACGGGGCACTGCCTCACCACAAGCCAAAACCTTGGCCACGGTCTGAGTCCTCCTGGCCCCGAAGTCTCAAGCATTTGTTCCAGTGATGGAAGCCAGGGGACTGTCACCATGTCTGGAGCAGAGTAGCAAAGACCCCAGAGGCATGGATTCCAGATTTCCCAACGTGGTCGCGCGTCCCGGTGCGCATTGGCTTTGAGCTCGGCTGCACCCTGAGCAGGGCGCCAGCCCGGGGCAACGGGGCCTGCCCTCTGCAGGAAGCCTGGGCTTTGTGTCCCTGTTCCCTGTGGACGGCAGAGCCGCCCTCTGCCCGACCACAGTGCTTAGAAGAGGAGGGCTCTCTCCTGGTGGCTCAGCTCCTGAGCTCTGGGTCCCGGCAGCCAGACAAGCACTCGTCCCCACTGGCCCGTGGCACATGGCCTCCTTGCAGAGAGCCATTCCCTCCATCTCATTCCCTTGGCTTCAGCTTATCTGTTCTGAACATTTTCAAATTTGCTTATTTTTCTAATCTTTTCTCCCCTCTTTTGGCAACACTACCCTTTATCTCTGGTTTCATCTCTATTACTCACACTGCCTCACGAGGCGTCTTCATTAAAATATTTTAAATTAAGACCTGCACTGCCCCCCGCCGAGCACAGCGGGCTCCCCACACGACACAGTCTAGTTCTTATCACGGAATTTCAGGCCGTTTGTACATTATATTCTGTTAAAGACTCAGTGCCACTCAAGGCTGTCACAACCTAGGGATCACAGCTTCCTGTGGGACGCTGCGCGGGCTATAGTCACATATTCTCTGTTCGCAGAAAGCTCCGTCCAGGGCCGTGTTTCACACCTCATTTGATATCAGAGACCAACAAAAGGCACAAAAGAAGCAATTATTTATTTAAATTATGGAATGGATTCTAGAGGGATATTAGATAAGCATAAATTGTCACACCACAGCCACAGATCCCTGCCCTTCCTCAGCCAGAGGAGGTCAGGCTGTCCCTGTGAGCAGGGGCAGGGCCAGGAGCCGTCAATCATGCAGCTCCTCTCAGTCTGCTAAGAAGTGCGGTCTGCTCTCAGGAAACAGCACAGTGGCCGCCACTCCTGTGCCTGTGGACCTCAAAGTGTCTAAAGGTCAGAGAAGAAAGGAAAGAAAACAGGTGGTGGCAATGCAGGGTGGCAGGCAGGTGCCCGAGGTGTTCATGAGCCCAGCTGAGGAGCTGGCACCTCACCCAGGTGAGGCCTAAGCCGAGGGGGTCACAATCAGGTGGGCTGCACACCCGGTCAGTTATTAACCTGAAAAACCACCGGAGACCCGTGCTCCTCACACAGGAGGGGGCAGGGGCCATGACAGCAGGGAAGGGGTCCTGCCACCCACCAGGGGTCCCGATGCAAGACCATCAGCGAGGACCTCTCTGCTGCCCAGGTGAGCGCAGCCCGCCTACCTGAGGCTGGCGCCCCAGCTGGAGAAGAGAGGCTGCTGGCCGGCAGCGCCAGTGACCAGCTTAAGACCAAAGCCATGCGCCAGTGCACGGTGTGTCATCGGCAAAATGACTCTCTTTAGGCAGTCAGGAACAATGGCCCAACGCTGGAGCCGCCTCGGGCTGCTCATAGATGCCCACTTTCCTCTGGCCCTGACATCAGTGCTGCTTTCCCACGACATCTCTGACCCCTGGTCACAGATAACAACAATGTGACCTCAGACTAACACCACACTCCGCACTGTGACAATGCGAACTCGGTGGCTCTGGGGACCATCCACCTCATTAGGCTTTTGAGCATGAAAAGCAAGAGGACCAAGCTCGGCCCGAGCGCCCATCAGAAGCCCGCTGCTGGACTGGAGGAGCTACATCTGTCTGGACACCATATCCCGCCCTGGGTTCCCCACGGTCCCCAGCCCCGCCACGGCGCTGGGCCTCGGGCCTCTGGCACTCACCTGCCCTGGGTGTCCGGGTGGCCCACGCAGGCCAGGGTGGCCGTCGTCTGGGTGCTGCCGTGGTCCACCTCCTCCTGCACCGCCCACTGGTCCTCGTTGCTGATTCTCACGGCCGTGATCTTCACACCAGCTGCCGCCTTAATTCTGTGAGGTGGGAACGACACGTATGAGAAACCATCCCGCTGACTCCGCAGGCCACCACGCCCAGGCCCGTCGCAGGACAGTGTGGGCAGTACTGTCCTCTGCCCAGGAGACAGGAGGAGCACTGTGAGTGGCTCTCCTTGGAAAACGAAGTGTCCTTCCTGCCACCAGGATTGACGGGGTGTGACAGGCACATGGGGGAGGTGGATGGACTCTGCCCCTCACCTGTAGGTGGGGAGGAGTTGCCGTGGGCTGGGGAAGGCCAGGCGCTGCCCTGTCAGGGACCCAGGAGGCCACTGCACTGAGCACACCATGATGGGAAATGGCCAGCGCTGGACTCTCGGGCGCTGAGCAAACTCCATGCTCAGCAGGAGGATGGGCAGGTCTGCCTGGCACCCCAGGTGTGTGCTCAGTCCACCAGCAAGAACCCAGGCCCAGGGGCTGAGGAAAGGGGAGAGTCCACAGCCTGGGCTGTCTTTCCCACGTCCCCACCCCTGACTGACCCTCGTGGCACTGCTGATGGGACCTGCTCCTGTGTAGCAGTGGGGACTCCAAGAGCAGCCCTGGGAGCCGCCTGGATGCATGGACAGGTCTGGAGAGCCGTCAGGATGCAGGCACACCAACTGGGCATGGAGGCCAGCGGTGCCTGGCCATGCGGCTGACCCCTGCTTCCCAGAGACCTGAGACCCCAGGGGAATGCCCAGCGAGGCTCTCCCAGGCTTTCCCATGATCACACAAAAGGAATGCCAAAGGCAGAGACAGCCCATGTGCAGGAGTCAGAGGAGTGCCAGCAAAGACGGGCACAGGGAGGCCACGCCCAGCACTGCTGGGACCTGGAGAGCCAAGATCCCTCAAGATTAATCATCAGACCTCTCACCATCTAAGGTGCTGCTGGTTACAGTAAGATGAGCAAAAGTGAAAAGACAACAGACAGGGATGGGAGGAATTACCTACAGATCATCTGTCTGATAAGGTCTACTATCCAGAATATGCAAAGAGCTCTTTCAAATCAACAACAAAAAGACAAATCACACAATTACAAAATAGGCAAAGGTCTTAACTAGACAGTTCTCCAAGGAAGACATACAAATGGCCAACACGTGCACGACACAGTGCTCAGCCTCGTTAGTCACTGGGAAATGCAAATCAAGACCACAGTGAGGCACCACTCCATGCTCACTCACTGGCTAAAATACGACAGAAAAGAGTCGGCAGGGACATGGAAAAATCGGGTCCTCGCGTGCTGCTGGTGGGGATGTAAAGGGCGCAGCTGCTCTGGAAATGGTTTGCCAATTTCTCGAAAGGTTAACCTAGCATCACTCCGGGACCCACATATGCTTTCCCTCGTGTGGAAACTAGAAAGCAAAAAGGAGAAAAAGTCTAGGAGGGTCTCATGAAAATAGATGAGACACGGGAAGAGGAGGGGACGGGGGGCGGGGAGGGCAAGGGCAGGCGCTGGGGAAGGAGTTGACCAAATGATGTTTGCGTTCTTACGGACACCTGGCAAGAGAGCCCCTAATACGTCTAACAACAACTTTTTTAAAAAAATGGCTGCAGGCCCCAGCAATCCAACTCCTAGGCTGATGCTCCAACGAATGGAAAACAGGAACTCAGAAAAATACTCAGACATGCGCACAACAGCACGGGGGATTTTCTTGTTTGGGTTTTTTGTTTCATTTTGTTGTGTTTTGGTACCAATGATTGAACCCAAGGGGCACTTAACCCCTGAGCCACATCCCCAGCCTTTTTAAATTTTTATTTAGAGACAGGGGTTGCTGAGTTGCTTAGGCTGGCTTTGAACTTGCCATCCTCCTCCTTCTCCTCCCGAGCCACTGGGATTACAGGTGTGCGCCACTGTGCCTAGCTGGTACTGTTTATATTGTGCACGGGTGGCAAGAACTCCAATGCCCGTCGACTGTTGAGTGGGAACCTAAACATGGTCTATTCGTGACCTTGGAGTATTACTGAGCCATAATAAGGGCTGGAGGAAGAGGCGTGCTACAATGATGCCCCTCGAAAACACTATCCCGAGTGTGGGAATGTGAGCACATTGGATGGTTTCACTCATATCAGAGCATCCAGAAGGTGAATCGTAGAGACAGAATGCAGATCGGTGGTTTCCGGGGCTGGGAACAGCGGGGGAGTGGGGAGGGACTGCAGAGCCGGTGGGTACCAAATTTCTTTTGGGGTGATGTGCTAAGGGCCACTGAATTGTTGGATTTGATATTGTTAATTTTATGTTATATGAATTCTATCTCAATTTTTAAAAAAGAAAAAAGTGTGGGGTGGGAGGCAGGTAAATGACGCATCATGATTCCCTGTGGCTGAAACTTTTAAATATTTTTAAAAGGATTTGTCAAAATCATAACCCCTGTGAGGCCCAAGCAAGGAACCCTCTGGTGGCAGGATTTGAGGCATTGAGCGATGGGACATGGGGTGGCACGAAGTCCTTGCTGTTGCCTGCCCCGGGAGCCCTGGCAGTGGGCCTGGGGACTCAGGCTGCCTCTCTCACTAACACAAAAGAAAATGTGGCTGCCCTCCCTCCTGCTGTCCCCTTCCTGCTGCCCCCCTCCTACCGCCCCCCTCCCGCTGCCCACCCTGCTGTCCTCCCTCCCACTGCCCACCCTCTTGCCGCCCCCCCTCCCTCCTACAGGTCTGTCCCCAGGCTCCCAGCTGCTTGCCTGCCAGCTCTTGCTCCTGGCATTTCCTGAGAAGCCTTGGCCAGGACAGGTGGCACCCTCTGGAGACCCCACGAGGCCTGCCCTGACCCCGCCGTCCCTCCTGCTGGATCCTGCTGACTAAATGCACTGCGTTTCCAGAGCCTGCTTTCTTGCCGTCAGGACGTTCCAGGAACTAATTCATGCGAACCATGAACAGAGGTGTCCTGCTCTGTCCCTGCTCTCAGCCTTCAGGTGAAGGAGCAGGTGAAGAGAGTGTCCCAGAGCCCTGTGTGCAGAGGCCAGTGTACGCTGGCTACTCCCACAGCTCGAGGGGCTCTCGCCCATGCACACAGGAGCCCCCAGAGCCCTTCTATATCTTCAGGATTGTAATGTCGTCCCCAGTGTCCACAGGGACGAACCAGCCCTCCCACCCCCAGCAGAGTGACCAGCGGCAGGTCACAGAGCTGGTCCGTCCAAGACCAGGACTAGACGCAGGGTCCCCTCGCTCCACACCTGCCCCCTGCCTTCCGCTCTGCCCCACCAGCTCTTTTCTCACAAGGCACCACGCACCACTCAGACCACGGGTGCTGAGCATGGCTGGCCACCCAGGGGCCAGGCCCAGGTCCACCAGCAGCTCAGTCTGTATGGAAAGAGGCCCCAGCCTCTGGCTGTCCAGCTCCCTGGCTGAGCCCAGCTGCCCACCTCCCCTTGGTCTCAGGGGCGTGGACACAACGTGTGCCGGCTGCCGAGCCTCCTTCTCCTCTGAGCCATATTCCTCTCTTCTGTTCTGACCCGAGGACAAGGCACGGGTCCCAGTCACCATCTCTGAACTCATTGTGGGGCCCGAGGCTCAGCATTGACGCTCTGCTCAGTCATCCCAAAAAGGTCCTGGTGTCCCCAGGGTAGAGGGGTGGCAGACGGAACAGTGGCCATCAACCCACAGAGGTCAGCACTTTTAGTGTTTTGGAAACTAGCACAACCACACTGATGCCCCTGGCCGCGCACCTGAGTGAAACTCCTGAACTTGAGGAAGACAGGCAAATGCCCAGGGGGCCCCAGGGCTGTGCTGGGGTGGGCTCCTGCCCTCCCACCACGACGCCATGTGCCAACTGGGCGTCCCCGCTGTGCTGACCTCCAGGGGTCCTCGAATTACTGAAACAAAAGAGCCGTGGGCATCAGAGCCAGGGTAGTCTTGAGTGCTCTAAGCTTCCTGGTGGGTGAGTCCAGTGGTCCCTGTGTGCATGGGAAGGGCCGCGGGGAAGCCTGTGACCCGGACTCGGACAGCCTCAAGGCTGCAAAGCACCTTGTCCCACTGGCTGTTCGCCTGGTCCCCTGACACTTCAGAACCGCCTGAGATCAGGAGCGGTGCGCAAAGCCCAAGAATGAGGAGGCCACAGCTCAGGGTGATCTTCTGAAGATGGTGGGGGCCACAGGCAAAGACCATGGCCACACTTTCCCAGGACCCGTTTAACAATAGGAAAAGGACTTCGTAATCAACGCCAAGACGCCTCTGGGCCCTGCTGCAGGCCACGCCGCCCGAGGCCGCTCAGAGACCCATGGGACCCTCGTCCTGCCCAGTGGCAGGCATGTTCCACGTGAGGAGCCCTGCTGAGGTGTCACTGGACAGGCCCTTGTGTGGGTGGCCAAGGAGGGAAACCGTCCCCTCCAGCCCGCGGAGGTAAAGATGGCTCATATCTGGGAGCAGGTGCCACCATCTGAACTGGCAGCTGACAGGCAGGAGAGGGAGATCAGGGTGTCCACCAGCTCCTGGCCCCATGGCCCCCAGGGAAAGCACTCAGAATCCAAAGGCAAAGGCTCCACGACCCACCCAGGCCGCACCTGGACTCTAGGGGTCTGTGCAGCTGCAGGACCGAGACACATGGGGACCGTGGGCTGCAGCGGCTCTGCACAGACCGCCTCAGGCCTGGCCTGCTCCACACTAGCCCCGTCCAGCACGGCGCCCAGGCCTCATTATCGGCTCCCAGATGAGAAGCCTGGGGAGCCAACCACCAGATAAGAGGTCATCCACTGCAGAGCAGGCCAGAGCCCAGACACAGGCCCTGGGAGGCCGAGCATGGCTGGCCACCCAGGGGCCAGGCCCAGGTCCACCAGCAGCTCAGGCTGTACGGAAAGTGCTGAGAGGCCCATGCACAGGGTCTGCGGGGCTCCCAAGCCCACGTCCACCAGCAGCCAGATGTGGCTTTATCAGAGGTGGGTCCTCCACCCGTCGCTCCTCAAGGATCTCAAGATGAGGCCCCCCTTCTAGAGTGGACGCTGAATCCTGGGAGTAGTGTCCTCACAAAAGAGGACAAGACCCAGAGACGCGAGAAAACAGGGCAGAGG